GGAGGGGTGGCTGGTGCTGTGCAGGGAGAAGGCTTTTTCACAGTCTGCTCCAGGTCTCAACAGCTTTTTGGTGTCCCCAGGGCCACCTGAGCGAGGGCTACGGACAGCTCTGCAGCATCTACCTCAAACTGCTGAGAACTAAGATGGAGTTTCACACCAAGGTGGGCATCATCCTGTCCCTGTCCCCGTCCCCATCCCCACGGCCACAACAAGAGGTGGATGATTGAGCGCTGGGGCAAAAGTGATGGCAACATTACAGTGCAGGACAGGGACTGTCACCCCCAAGGGTCCTCTCCTCTGTCGTGGCTGTTCTGCTGCCTCCATGATACATGTCCCAGGCTGCCAGGGTCCATCCTTAGCCTGGATAAAAAGTGGCCCAAAGACCCTGGGGATGGATGGTGTCATGGTGGATCAGGGCTCCTTGGAGGCACCTGGGCTGGGAGTTGGAGGGCTACAAGAAACACTAAGACACCCCCAGCTTTGGGGTGCACGTCCCCTCCCAGATGGGCAGAGGTGGAAGAGGCCATTGGGTTCTGAGTGGGGAGGGCTTGTGGGGGCTGTGCTGTGCCACGCCATGCTATGCCATGCCACACCATAGGAGCAGCTCCTGTCCATCTCCGGTGCTGCCCTGGCAGGATCTGCAAAGGCTGAAGCAAGCCCAGGCAGCAGGGCCAGGCGGGAGGCAGCACAGGCAGGGCAGGGACCAGCGCCGAGGTGTAAATCCCTGCAAACCCTGTGGTGCATCCTGACGTCTCTGCATCACCGCGGATGTGGAGAGGGATGCTGGGGATTTGGGCTGGTGGGATGTCCCGGTTGGTGCACAGAGGAGGATGAGCAGCAGCGCCTGATTCGACCGGCATGTGAGCGTGGGGGTTTATTCGCCACAGTCAGCCAAGGAGAAATTAAGTAGTTGTGTAGAGAAACCTCCTTTTGCTTGGGACCAAGGTCTGGCTGTAAGGCACGCTAGTGCTTTCTAAAATAAGGTTTTTATACGGGCAGGAAAAGTGGGGTGAGAGCAACAAGTCAGCCTGGAAATTCCGGAACAATGGGGAAATAATGATTGACTTAATCTGAGCACCGCTGAGCGTGCACAGCTTAGTTCTCAGCAGAACTTCAAGTCATGGGTTTAAGGTTTCTATGTGAACAAGCAGTTCATCACAGACTGTGAATCTCACCTCGGATTTATCAGGAAAATCAGGATGAGGTAGCACAGAACAAACCTCTTGTACTCCCAGGGCTTCTGCCCTCCATCGCCTGCCCTGTTTGGTAAACATCCCTATCGCGGGATGCTGTGGGATCGGTTCTGGCTGATGTCCCATCCTGTCCCACCCAGTGCTGTCCCCAGCTTGAAATAATCAGTGCTGGTTACCAAAATCTTTTTTCTCTCTCTCTCTCCCCTTTGGGCTCTTGAGCCATGGGTGCTCCTGGGCACGGGAACATCCCGGGGGAATCCCAGGGGATCATCCCACATGGGTTTTTTCCCCATCATCAGGAGCTTGTTTCCAGCCTCAGGAGCAGCACCACTGGGCAGGTCCCTTCCTTGGGGTGGCCTTCGGGGAGGATGCACTGGCTCTGGGTCTGCTCCATGCCGTGCCGGCTGCCAGAGCTGATGGGGACCGTGTTTGTAGTAAGGGATGCGACGTTCCCTGTCGCGCCTCGGGAAGCTGCACTCACATGGATCGAGCTTATTATTTAGGCAGATTCTTTCTTATAGAATAAAATAGAATATGCTTGTGGTGTTAAAGTAACAGTGTGTGGCCAAGAGCAGGATGGAAGGTCACGGTGGGCTTGTTCACAAGCGCGTCCCTGCGTGGCTTCAAGCACCCTTATCCTTACGGTAACCGGCAGCAGCAGGTTGGTACCCATGGTGTTCCTGTCCTTTCCGAGCTCTGGCCAAAAGAGGTGTTTTCTGAAGGCAGGCTGTACCCGTCACTCCAATTGGGCTTGGAGCTGTGATACAACCTTCCCCAAAACTTCTGGGCAGCATGAAGAGGCTTTGCCCCCCGGAGCAGATACCAGCTCCTTCCCCTCCAGCTCTCGGCCATGCCGTGTGCGAGAAGGTGCCCCTCCTCCTCCCCGCTTGGAGGGTTTCTAAGCCTGGGGAGAATTGGCTTTCCTTGCTGGGGAGCATACAGTTGCCATGGATTGGGATGCTGCGGTCACGCGGGGCTCAGCAGACCCCGTGTCAGCCCCCTTTACCCCTGCACCACTCCCTTGGGGCACCCGACGAGCCGTCCCAGTCTCTTGCACCGAGGCCGTCGGCCGGAACAGCAACGCTGGTGCTCCCAGAGCTGTGGCTGGAGCAGGGGATCCTCTGAAACCCTTTCCTGACTCTTGCTTTCCCACACAGAATCCCCGCTTCCCCGGCAATCTCCAGATGTCCGACCGGCAGCTTGACGAGGCAGGAGAGAACGACGTCAATAATTTGTGAGCGCGGGGCAGGGGCAGGAGGCGAGGGAGGAGGGTGGTTGCGGGCAGGGTGGGACGGTGCTGCCCAACCTCACCCGTGGCACGACTGAGCTGGGGACGGGACCTTGCGCTTCTCCCCCACCCCTGCCATGGGTGCTGGGAGCGGGCAGAGCCTCCGGGCAAGGTGGCACATCCACACGGGAGCACCCACTGGTCCCCCTGTCAGCAGGCAAGGGGCATGGGTGGCCGTAGGGATGCTCCCCAACCATCCTCATCCCTTTTTCCTAGTTTCCAGCTGACGGTGGAAATGTTTGACTACCTGGAGTGTGAGCTGAACCTCTTCCAGACAGGTAAGCCCCTGCGCCACCCTGCTGGAGGTTGGGGTGGGGGGTCCGCAAGGGCTGAGCCGCATGGGGGGAGGCTCTGGGAAGGATGCTGTCGGAGGACATTGCAGCTCATCTCTTTTTCCAGTCACTTCACCTGAGTTATTATCTGCGTGCCGGAGAGCTGTGCTGCCTCAGGGCAGCACCGCGGGACTGGCTGCACCGCACCATCCTGCTCCCCACCATGCGACACCCCTTCCACTGCCGTAGCTTTGTGCTTTCCTCCAGCAGCCTCCCTGGGCTGAGTTTCTTCTCATCTTAGCTGTGGGTTCATCAGGGCTTTTGGCTTTTATTATCAGCGAACACAAGCTGCCATGAGTGTTCATGGTGATGCTGGAGCTGGGGGAGCATGGGGGCACCTCCCTCCCTCCTGCGCACGCAAGGGAAGGGGTGAAAATGAGCCAGGCTCGACCCTCAGGACTGTCACGCAGCTCTGCATGCTCGAGCAGGATAAGGTTTGGGGCAAATTGAAGTAATTCTGGGATAAGCCTTCATCTTCACCAGGCTGTGGGTGCTGGCGAGACAGGGCTGTGTTTGGACGGAGCTGGAGCATCACCCTCATTGTGCGGCTGCGTGCTGGCACAGCGGGACAGGGATGGTGCCAAGGGGCTCATCTGTGCAGCGCAGGCCCTGTCCCCGGAGCACATCCAGGAGCTCTCGTGGCTCTGCCCTTCAGAGGGGAATAACCAGATGGAGGGAGATGAGAGTCGTGGGATGTGGGGAGATGGAGCTGCCATCTTCAGCCACCCTGCAAGACTGCCAGCTGCACTGGCACACCTCGAGGGCAGCGTCCCACGCCTCATGGGACCCGCAGGGCTGCACCACAAAGGTGTTCACCAGGCACATCTCCAGCAGCCCATGGCCTGTCCCCACCACAACAGAAACAACCTTCATGCCCCAGCATCACGGGGCATGTCTGCAGCCCCGGCACAAGGTGCAATTTGATGTGACGTGGGCAGAGGATCGAGGATGTGAGGTGCTGCCGGCTGCTTCCTGCTGTTCCTGGAGCATCTCCCTGGCACACTCGCATGCCAGCGGGACGGCAGTGATGGGCAGAGCACATGGGCTGCGTGCCCTTGGGGGGCTGGGAGGACCTGGCTGGGACTCAGGACTGGGCACCTCCAGCCCGCAGTGCCAGGCTGAAGCACTCCCATGCCTGCAGCCGAGTCCAGGCTGGGAATCTTGAGCCAGCAGATGACTGTGCAACACCAGGCTGGGTCCCCAAGGGCCAGGGGGTCTCTTGCTCAGGGTGACGTTTGTGGACGCGTCCATGTGGTACCCTGTGGCACTGCCAGAGCCTGATCCCGTGCTCCTTCCCCGCAGTGTTCAGCTCCCTGGACATGTCACGCTCGGTGTCAGTGACGGCTGCAGGACAGTGCCGCCTGGCCCCGCTCATCCAGGGGATCCTGGACTGCAGCCCCCTCTACGACTACACTGTCAAGCTGCTCTTCAAGCTCCACTCCTGTGAGTGTCCCCAGTGCCGCCGCCTCGGGCAGGGGGTGGGACACAGAGAGGGACACTGGGGATCACCACCCTGCTCAGGCTGGGCTGTTCACCCCCCATCTCCTTCCCAGCCTTTTTAGGGGAGTCGAGGGAGTCTGGCAGGGCAAGGGACACGGAGGTGCAAGCAAATGGGGGACCGAGCTGTCCCAGGAGCCTGCACTGCCAAATACCCCTCAGCTGCAAGGATGGAGCCCACCAGGAGCCCCCCCGGCTTTGGACAGGGACCAGCTCCAAAACCTACATCCACCAGGACCATGTCTGCCGGAACACCGGCTCACTGCCTTTCCCTGCCCTGGGGGTGTCTCGGGCAGGATGTGATCCCCTCTTGCAGCAGGACACTGAGCCCGGAGCGTTCAGACCCCGGGAGGAGGGTGGCCATTACTGGGAAAGACCCATCTCTGCGTGGCTGTGCCGACAGGTTGTCCCCTGATCCATGCTCCTTCCTGGCATGGAGACACTCGGTGACATTTCTACTTGCTGCTTCTTCCAGGTCTGCCGGCGGACACGCTGCAGGGCCACCGGGATCGCTTCCTAGAGCAGTTCAGAAAGTAAGTGCCCTGACGCGGGGCGCTGGCTCTCCGCACTGCCAGCGATGCTCCGGGGGCGCTCCCGTGGCGGAGGGGGTGTGAAGGGATGCCAGAGCCCCCGTGCCAGGGCTCAGCGGCCGAGCGATGGAGACAGAGACAGTGCAGGAGTTGGTCTTGCTTGGGGCTCTGAAATCCAGCCCCTTCCACCTCTCGGCTTTCCCTGGAGCTCCCTCCAGGACAGCCGCTCCGCTTGGCTAATCCAATCTGAATTACCAGATAATGATGTTTTTAATTCCAACGAGCCACTGACAGCACGTCCAGCGAGTTAAAACCCTCAAACCCTTTAATTGCAGTTTTAAATGCAGTCTGCGGTTGACATGCTGAGATGGCTTCATGAGTCCATGTGAACCTCATGAAGTTTGACCAGGCCAAGTGCAAGGTCCTGCATCTGGGTCAGGGCAATTCCCAGTACCAGCACAGACTGAGGGAGGGAGGGAGGGAGGGATGGATGGATGGATGGATGGATGGATGGATGGATGGATGGATGTGGATGGCTAGCACCCTGTGGAGAAGGACTGGGGCATACTGGTGGGTGACAAATGGGACATGAGCCAGCAATGTGGGCTTGCAGCCCAGAAAGCCAAGCATCTCCTGGGCTGCATCACCAGCAGCGTGGACAGCAGGCCAAGGGAAAGGATGCTCCCCCCATGCTCCACTCTCCTGACACCCCCCTGGAGCACTGCATCCAGCTCTCTGGGATCCCCAGCACAAGACAACAGGTTTAAACTTTATGAGGGTAGGGTGAGATTGGACATTGAGAAGAAATGCTGTCCCATGAGGGCGGTGAGGCACTGGTACAGGTTGTCCAGAGAAGTTGTGGCTGGCCCCTCCCTGGAATTGTTCAAGGCCAGGTTGGATGAGGCTTTGAGCAACCTGATCTAGTAGAAGATGTCCCTGCCCATGGCAGGGGAGTTGGACTGGATGACCTTCGAAGGTCCATTCCAACTCAAACCATCCCGTAAGTCCATGGTCCTATGAGATGTGAACACTGGTCTCCCCTGGATTAGTAACTGCACAAGGGAGAGGAGACAACGGTCAGGATTTGTACCAGGGGGTGTCTCCAGGTGATCCCAGCGATAGTGCTAGAACTGCTCCTCTCATCGTATGAGATCAAAAATGAGCAAGCAGTGAAGTGCCCTGGCCTCTGGTACATGATTGTTTAGGGTAGTCAAAACCAAAACTGGCCGCAGTTTTGAGAGAGGGAGGGAGGATGTCACGGTGCCAAGAGACAGCTCAGTTCAAGGTCACACACTACAAACCAGTGCCCATGGGAAGAACACCAGGCACGGACGTCAGCAGGTGGCAGGGCCGTCCATGGGCTCTGACTGCCCAGGGCAGAGACCTTGGCATGGATATTGACAGCGCCAAGACACTGAGTGGGATGGAAGGAAGGGGGAGCTGCGAGGCACGCCGGGCACCGCTGCTCCTCTGCAAAATCGGGAATCCCGAAGCGGGGTAGCCCTGCTCCTGGGGCAGATGTTCCTGTAGGAAGCAGAAGGGGATGGTGCAGACGTGGCTTCCAGGCAGGGAGCTCCCCCCACTGATGGCTGGGGCTGTAGTGGGAGCGATGGTGATGTTTCTCAGCTGTTCCTTGAAGCTGTGGCCATGGTGAGGACAGCACAGAGGGGTGCGTGAACCTCAGTGTGACCCAGTGCAGCCGTTCTGCTGCAGTTCCTGGTTTCACAGAACTCATGGAGTGGTTCGAGTTGGAAGGGACCTTGAAAGATGATCTTGTCCAACCCCTCTGCCAAGGGCAGGGACACCTTCTGCTAGATCAGATTGCTCCAGTTTCAGGTCCATCTCTCTGCTTGTCAGGTTTATGGGAGAAAGCCCTCAGCAGTCAATTTTTGCCAGAGGTGGGAGGTTGGCGATGGGTTCTTCTCAGGACCTGCC